TAGCACTCCCAGGCTTATTAGGTGGATGAAAATTCCTACCTAATAAATTGTGGTCAGACAGGTTGTCTGTTCTCAAACCCTGTTTCCTGATAAGATGTTATCAATGACAATGCTTGCCTGAAACTTCATTAGCAGTTTTAATTTCCCCTCATCCTGTGGTCCTGTGATCTCGCCCTGCCTCCATTTGCTTTGTGATATTTTATTACCTTGTAAAGTATGTGATCTCTGTGACCCACACCCTATTTGTGCATTCCCTCCCCTTTTGAAAATTGCTGATAAAAACTTACTGGTTTTACGGCTCGGGGAACATCACGGATCCTGCCGACATGTGATGTCTCCCCCGGACACCCAACTTTAAATTTCTCTCCCTTGTGCTCTTTCCCTTTATTTCTCAACCCAGCCAAGACACTTAGGAAATAGAAAAGAACCCATGTTAAACATCGGGAGCGGGTTCTCCTGATAGCCTACCATGAGTTTACCCTCTGCAACCTCACAACAGGTATGGAAATTCTAGCCTGTAAGACTAGTGATGCCCTTACCCTCCTCAAAGTCTCCCTAGACTCACTAGCCAACACTGTGCTTGATAATCGTCTGACTTCTGATTACCTCTTGGCAAAAAAAAAAGGTGAGGCACGTGTGGTCACCAGCTCTTTCTGTTGTGCTTGGGTAAGTAATTCAAGATTAACAACAACAACAACAAAAAGACATTAAAATCATCTACAACCAGGCCAAGTGGTTGCACCAATTTAACCAAAAGGGCACAGACCCTCAAGGAATATGAAAATGATAAAACAGGCCAGCCCTGATTTCACCTGATTTTTACCCTAACTGGGCCCTTTAGCTACCATCCTACTTATCTTGATCTTCAGGCTCTTTCTCTTAAACTGTCTGGTCTCTTTTATGTATAAGCAAATCAAGGCCATACAGTGATATAGAAAGGTAGGCTTATACCCAGGAGATAACCAGATCTATCTAAGACTAGCTAGGGAAAAAATTCACTCCTCTAACAGGCCCCATATTGTCAAAGGTGTTCGAACCAGAGCGACTCCATTTTGACTGAGGGCTAGGAAAATGAGGCTGGGCCTTGATAGGCTGCATTCTCAGAAATTTAGGCATTCCTAGCCTCTAGATGTTTATGGTAAGGGAACAAACTAATAATGTTTACTACACAGACCCAGATTTGGGAGTGTCCAGATCTCCCAATATCTGGCAAACAAAGGCATTCCTAATTTTGTCTTAAAGATAATAATACCGATTCTTGCAAAATATAGTAATTAAGAAAATTAATCCTTTATCACAAACCCTTGTAGCAGAGCACATCTCCCCATATACACAAGCATTGTACTTAGAGTGGACACATTCCTCCTCTTACTTTCAGAAACGTCCTACTCTGTCTATGGAGTATCTGTCCTTTCACCACTTTACCTCTCTTAATAAGCTTACTTTTGCTTTACACTGTGGACTTACCCTGAATTCTTTCTTGCACAAGATCCAAGAACCCTCTCTTGGGGTCTGGATTGAGACCCCTTTCCTGTAACAATATTAACATCCAACTTCAGATTGAGGAAGTTGTAGAAGACAGACTTTCACCTCTCAGCACCCTTCAAGAATGAGGAGTGAATATACAGAAAAGGGGGAACTTGTTATCTAGTGTAATGCCTACATGACATAGCTGAATTTCTACCCTGCCTTAACTCTGCTTAAGAAACAGAACACCTGTGATAAAAAACAGTTCCCTTTGTAACCAGACCAGCTGAGACAGGTTTAAACCAAGATAGCCAACCAAAGGACTTCAAAAGGACCTCAGGCCTCATTTTAATCTCATTTCCATGCTAAATGACCATTGCCAATCCCCATGACACAACTGGAAGAAGGCATAGGAGGACAAAAATGTAGCAGCACTCTGGTTCCGGGAAGTTGACTACCTATTTCTGGAAAAGATATGAATATTCCCTCCCCTTGCTTTTAATGTCCAACCTCCTCATTAAATAAATCCTATATTTTAATCCCCTCACCCTTCATTAGTGGAGAAGTTGAGTTGTGAGTCATGTTACTACTTCTCAATTCCATGGTCTGCACTGCTTAATGCTGACTTTTGGTTTTGGGTATTGGTACCGTGACTCCAAACAAGGAAAGATCCCATCTTCTGGGAGAGTGGCTTTGTCAGTAACATGAATATCAGGGAGGAGAAGCTGAAATCATTGGAAGCCATGTCAGATGCTGCTAACAACAGAATCCTTTGGTCAATTGCATTTCTCATAGTTGGTGGTCTCCAAGGTGCAGTCATATGATCTTCACATTAAATTCAGGACAAAAGGAAATGATTTAAATAGACAATAAGCCAGAAGAAATTCTTCAGAAGGCTTGAAAACAGAAAATGTGAGAAAATGATTAAGAAGCATGGAGTACCCAATAAGAAAATCTAATGTATGTTTAATTTGAGCACAAGAAGACACAGAAAATGGGACCAAGGAAATGTTTGAAGAAATTGTAACTCAGAATGCTCAGGATTAATGAAAAATCCAATACATAGAAACAAAAAGACTAACAAATCCCAATGGAATAAATAAAAATTAACACCTAGAATATCTTGAAAAATAAAATTAATTAAAATTCATAACAAAAAGATGTTGTTAAAAACAGGCAAAACAGCCAAAGGAAAAAATATATAGATTAGATGCATAAAACTGAAAGTCAAATGGTCAGCTTCCTTCTTAATGGCAAAAATGAAAATTAATAGATTATGAAATGTTATAACTAATATATGAAGGTCAACTAAGAATCAACAATTCTATGAAAAAAGAAAATGTCTTTCAAACAAAAATTCTGAAAGTTTATCATCAGGAAAACTTTGCTAAAGGTTATGCTAAAGGATCTATTTCAGCCAGAAAGTACTCTTAGATGAAAAGTCTAACATTCATGAAGAAAAAATAAAAATAGTTATTTTGTGGGTAAATTTAAAAAATAACCTTGACTACTTAAAACAATAATAATGTACTTATCTGTTATACAATGAAATATTCAGCAACAGTAACAAATATTTAATTCAGAAGAAATGTAATAACTAGAGTAAAATTTTTCTTAGTTCCTTTTATTGTCCAGCAGGATAACAGTATCAGTTGTTTTTTAGAGTCTGACAACATTAAGTTTTCCTGTGGCAATTAATAGGATTTCCTACTAAAAGAATAGAAATAAAATTGTAATACTCAAATTCAAGAAATAATAAAATAATAATCAACATGAAAAAAGGCAATAAAAAAGAAAAAAATACAACAAATGTGGCAAATAGAGTAAGTTATGTGGTGGTTTATATCCAAATATATTAGTGATTCATGAATGCACTTAATGGTCCACCCTTGAAAATATTTTCAAACTGAAAAAAAATGTGTCTACATGGTGTTTATAACAGATATATCTAAAATATAAAAACTTCAAAGTATTGAGATTAATTGAAAATATTAATCAAAAGAAAGCTAGTACAACTGTATTAATGCCTTGATTGAGTTTAAGCAAAAATATTCCAAGAGTCAAAGAAGGTCAATTCATAATGATAAAAGAGGTTAATTTGTATCCCAGGAGGATATAACAACTTCAAATTTGCATGCACCTGAGAATATAGACTCAAAATATAGGAAGCAGAAACTGATAAAAATAATTATGTACACAAGTGAGCAATTATAGACCCTCCTCAATACTTGACAGAAAAAGTAAAAAAAAAAAAAAAATTAATAAACGGAGCAATGCTTCTCAAACATCACCTTGGAGTCTTTTAAAAGTGTAGATTCTCATTTAATAGGTCGGTGTTGAGTCTAATTTTCTGAATTTAGAATGAACACCCAGATAATGTTAATGTTGTGGTATAAAGATTAACCTCCATGCTTAGTAAACTTGATCTAATGGAAGAGTAACAACAGTACACTCAACAAGTAAAGAATGAATGTTATTCTCAATGACATAAGGAATACATGCCAAAAAATGCCATCTTAATTAAGACTAAACAATTTTCATGGTTTGAAACTATACACATTTCTCTCTGGAAAAAAAAAAACTATATACAATTCAACTGGAAAGCGATAATAAAAATTAATTAGAACTCAATATATAAATTTTTAAAATACATATTTCTTAATAACCCATGGGTCAAAGAAGAAATCTTGATAAAAATTAGAAAATATATCCAACTGATCAAATATAACTAATCAGGTTAGTTATAAAAGAGATCTATTTATCAACTAAATAGATAATATTTAATTACATGTTGAAATATACATTGGATGTTAGGAAATATAAACACCGTAAGAAATGAATGTTATCTAAGTTGTGGAATTTTGTATAAATTGTATTGATTTTGCTTATATGTATATGACTCTAACCCCCATAGTGACTATAAATTCTTTTATACTAAATCATTGATCAATTTGAATAAATAAAAATATTATATCACACAGAATCATAAAGAAGTTATAGTCAACAAAAGGAACTGAAAGAATATCAGAAAATAAATACATCGGGGACAAATGTAGAAAATAAAAAACCCTCAATAAATAATATACCAAAAATACGTAATCTATATATTTAAATATTTCATTTTATTAGTAATCAAATAAATTCAAGTTGAAATATTACATGCTAAGTATATAATTAATTTATTGATATCTAATTTGTTTTTAATCATATCCCATACTGAATTTTTTTTAATAGTTACTTTTGCACACGTTGTAGGTATATTTATTGTTATAAGATGTCCTCAGGCAATTTGGCAATATATATGAAGAGCTTTAAGATGACACAGAAATATAGTACTTTGGAGATTTATACATACATAATTTTACATATATGAAATATATATCTTTTTATTTATATATAAACTTGGTGATGAGACAGGTATAATTTAAAATTTTATTTTTCTCTTAAAATTTTCTGTATAGAAATATATATTACATTTTTACTTAATATTTAATTTCTAAATGCTATAATTAGTGTTTGTGAAAAATTCTTACTTGTAGGCCTCTATGCTTTTTTCATCCTGGTGAATATCTTTATCCATCTCTTCTTTAATTTGCTGAGCCTTCAGTCTGGCATTTTCACAGGCTTCTAAAGCTTCTTCAAGTTCTTCACAAACTTTTCTGTGTAGGTCCATTACCTAGAAATGAAAACATTTTTGCTTATATTTGCACTTAATGGTTAATTTAAAATAGTAACTTTAACTTAGTGTAGTATTGATTTAGATTAAAAGTTCTTTAGAAACATGTTCTCCCACATTCAACCTACTATTGTTTGGTAAGTGTAATTTCAGCCCTGACAGGCATTAACGCTGGGAATGTATAAATGTTACTGAAGAAAATAATTTCAATATCCAAGTTAACATGTCCAAAATGAAATCATTATGTCTTCACTCATAAAAATATAGTTTTATTACTCAAATAATACTTTATTATTTAAAAAGTCAGAAAACAAAGATGAACAATGACAAAGTCACCTGTACTCCTCTCCACTAAGAAAAACCATTATTGTTAGGTTGGTGCAAAAACAATTGTGGTTTTTGCCATTAAAAGTATGCACCAACCTAATATCTTAGTGTAATACTTCAAAATATTCAGTTTTTACTCTTTTTACTGATTAAGAAACATCATACTAATCTCATGTTTTACTAACAAACATCATACTAATGCTCCTGTCTTCATCTCTTCCTTCTGTCTCTCTCTGTATATCACTGTATCACATTACTTTTACTTAGTATTCCCTTATATCACACATACTCATGATTTAACTCATTGTCAATTATATGAGCATTATGCACAGTTTGACATGCACAACATATGTATGAGGGACACATAACATAAACAGTACTATGATGAACCATGTAAGGAAATTGCACAATCTATAGTTATACTGCATGTTCTTGAATATTTTCTTCAAATATACTGTTAAAACAGAATTTTCTGAGTCATAAGGTATTAGCAAATATTTTAAGAATGTTGATTAATATTGGTTGCCAAATTACTCTCCAGAATAAGGGGTAACAGTTTGTATTCTCACCAGTGGAACAGAAGAAAGTCCATGTTTGAAAACTCTTTCCAGCATTTTACATTACTTTTTTCTAATAATATTATTTAAATTGACAGGTCAAAAGGTTATTGTGTAAATTTTACCAGAATTTGATGGCTGTTTCTATAACAATTTTGGAATGATTGACATTTTTACTATAATAAGCCTTCCCATCTTAGAATATATTATGTGTCTAAATTAATTGTCTCTTTATTTTCTTCAATATGATTTCATAATTATAGTCTTAAATGTCTGTATCTTTATAAATTTTGTCATCAATATTTAATGACTCTGCTAGTAAAGGAGTTTTCTGTTTATATTTTTAACTATTTATTGAAAGTATGGAAAAACTTTATTCATGCTAGTAAAAGTATGTTGTATTGGATGGTTTAGTTCTGGTGGATACAAACTTATTTTGAAAACAACAGTCTTCTATTTGATGTTTTAATTATAATAATATTAAAATAATTTTATTTCACAATTTTTAAATGTATATCTTTTATTTCATTTTATTGTCCTATTACATAGGAAAAATCCTCAAAATGATGTTAAATTGTAATAGGGATGTCAGGTTTACCTGATTTGTTCCTATTATTACAGCTTTAGCATTTTAGTGATTAATATGGATGCTTGTGTGAAATAGTTCTTTATTTAAATTAAGGTATTTTTTAAATTTTAATCTTTTATTACAATTGCCAGTTTTTGAATAATGAATACATCTTAAGCATCTTTTGATAAAATTCTATTTTTTAATCATGTTGATACAATAAATTACATACCTAGATTTTCTGCTGTTAAACCATTGGCACATTGTTATAATAAACTTTTTTGGAGTGATATACTTTTCTTATATTGAAGAATTCTTTGGCAAATATTTTATATAATTTTTCAAATATGTATTTATTGGTAACTTATATATGTAATGTTATTTTTGCAGAATTTCCATAAAGTTTTGGTATTGAAATATATCACTTTCATTTAATTAAAACATTTCCCTCCTCTTCTTTGGACTAAATATTTAAAACAATATTGGAATTATTCATCTTTTACAGGTTAGATCATATGCAACTGCAGTATCACCAGCTTTAGGGTTTATTATTAAGTGTAATAATTTGATATTTTATTTTTGAGTTTCCCTTTGATACTAGAATAATATCTACATACAAGATTTTTCTTGTGGTTAAGGTGTTTTTGTAGTATAATTTTTTTTTTAGTTTTATGGGATGGTGATCTTACAATGCATCTTTTGAAGTTTATCCTTTCTAAATTTTCTTAAGTTTATTTGTTGAAGTAAAACTTACATAGTATAGAATGGGACAAGTTAAAGTGTACAATTCAGTGGCATTCGGTACATTCACAATGTTGTACCAACATGACCCTTTTCTAGTTCCAGAACATCTTCATCATCCCAAAGGGAAACCCTGAACTCATTAAATGGTTACTCCCTAGTCTCCCCTTCCTGTTTTAAAAGATTCTCCTGGTGGGAAGACGCAACGCAGTGAAACTGGGCTAGATGAAAGGCAGAATTCTGTTACTTACAGCTCCAAAGGAGAGATGGCTACCAGGTAGGGCCGTGTTAGGGGTTTCAGCTGGGGACAGGTTAGCAGCAAGCTGGAGCTATAGAGGACAGCTTATGGGTGGCAAGCAGTGGAGGTAGGTAGCTAAATTTTAGAAGATCTCTGTGGAGTGGCTAATTTTAATCATTTCAGTAGACTCTGAAGTACAGTGGGTTTCACTACTTGTTTGGGGCCTCTGTTGAGAATAGGATGGGTACATAGTGGCGTGGAATGTGAGGGCCCAGGAAGGGGTTGGAGATGTGGGTTTAATCAGCTTCTCAAGAAAGGGAGGGCCAGCCTTTAGCCACGGCCTCAAAACTGAGTAAGACAACACAACACATTGTGTACTCTAAGAAGTAAAATACGTGCCTTGGCTACTCTGTCATGCCTGGAACTCTGGAGGGGCTAAGTGTCCTTGCAAGCCTTGTTTTATGGCCTTAGCATATCTAGAGACATGTGGGACCTTGATTTATATTTTGGGTATCTATGAGGCAAGGGATTCCCAGAGTTGTTCACTCTAAAGGGGCAACTCTTTACTTCCCACTCTGTATCCTGTTGCTTTGGGGATTTTTTTCAATTCTTTTTTTCTTGTTTTGGGCTTCTAGTTACCATCTTTGTCTGCTAACTTATATTGCATACATTCTCGGTTACAGAAAAAGGGGATTTAGCAGCCCTCTGGCCTAACTTGAAGGCAGCCTTCTCTCTCATTCCAAGGCTTCCAGTCTACCTCCCAGGTATTGGGGTGTGCACTTAAAGAGGTATAGCAGACTCCCTTTGTGAAAACCCAATTAGCCCAAAGTATCAGTCCTTTCACATGTTGTAATGCAGCAGCATTTACTAAAGCCCAAGCACACTGGCTAGGAGTTTTGAATTTTTAAGCAACCAGGTAACTTCAGCAGGCCTCTAGCCAGGGCCTTAAAACTAGGTCAAGATTGCATAATAAAAAAATAATAATTTTAAAGAGTTTTAAAATGTTATTACGGACACAACATGACAAACAAAACTTGATATTACATTTCCCCCAGCCCTACGCAGTCATTAATCTTTCTGTGTCTATGGATTTACTTATATTGGATCTTTTATATAAATGAATTATGCAATATGTGACCTTTTGTGTCTAGCTTCTTTACTTAGCATAATGCTTTCACGTTTTATTCATGTTGTAGCATGTATCAGTACCTCATTTCTTTTTATGGCTTAATAATATTTCGTTCCATTGATATATCACATTTTGTTTATCTCAGCAAATAAACATTGGGCTGTTTCTTTTGGTTATTGTGAATAGTGCTACTAACGAATATTTATGTACAAGTTTTTGCTTTTGCTTTTGTTTCTTTAGTCTCAGCTTTTGTTTCTTTTACATATATACCTGGGAGTAGAATTGCTGAAGAATATGGTAATTCTGTGCTTAGCTATTTTGGAAATAACCAAAATGTTTTCCATAGCAGCTACACTATTTTTGCATTCCCACTGGCAAATTACAGTGGTTCCAGTATCTCTAGGGTATCCTTGTTACTTTCCATTTTATTTTTAATCCTATCCTAATGGGTATGACTGGTATCTTATTGTGGTTTTGATTTGCATTTTTTAAAGACTAATGATGTTGAACATACATCTTTTCATGAGTTTGCTGCCCATTTGTATGTCTTTCTGAAGATATGTCTATCTGTTCACTACTATGAACAGATATACAACAGATATATGTATGTCTGTTCATGGCAAGTTCTCTGTTTATTTTAAATTTAGTTGTTTGTCTTTCAGTTGTCAAATTATAAGAGTTCTTTATATACTCTGGGAACTACATCAGTTTGAGATCATATTAATTTGCAATGTTTTCTTTCATTCCATAGGTTGTCTTTTTACTTTCTTGATAGTGTCCTTTGATGCAAGAATGCTTTTAATTTTGACTAAGTCCAATTTTTCTATTTTTTTTCTTTTGTTACTTGCACTTTTGGTGCCATATCTAAGAATCCATTTCCAAATCCAAGGTCCTAAAGATTTATCCCTAGGTTTTTGTTTGTTTGTTTGTTTGTTTGTTTGACACAGAGTCTCACTCTGTCGCCAGGCTAGTGTGCAGTGGCGCCAACTCAGCTCACTGCAACCTCCACCTCCCATGTTCAAGCGATTCTCCTGCCTCAGCCTTCTGAGTAACTGGGACTACAGGCCCCTGCCACCACGCCCAGCTAATTTTTGTATTTTTAGTAGAGACGGGGTTTCACCATGTTGGCCAGGATGGTCTCGATCTCTTGACCTCATCATCTGCCCGCCTCAGCCTCTCACAGTGCTGGGATTACAGGCGTGAGCCACTGCGCCTGGCTATCCCCAGGTTTTCTTTTAAGAGTTTTATAGTTTAAACTCTTACATTTATGTCTTTGATTCATTTTGAGCTAATGTTTATATGGTGGGAGGTAGGGGTCCACTTTTACTCTTTTTAATATATATTTGGATATTCAATGTCCCAGCATCATTTGTTGAAGAGGCTACACTTTCTTTCAATAAATGATTGGTCTTGCACCTTGTCAAAAATCAATTAGCCATAGATACATATGTTTATTTCTGAAATTTCAGTTCTACTTTATTTATCTGTTTCTTTATACCTTAGGCAAATATATTTTGCTTACTACAGCTTTGTAGTAAGTTTCGAGATTGGAAAATGTGACTTCTCCAATGTGGTCTTCTTTACAAGATTACTTTTGCTATCTGGAGTTCCTTGCAATTCCATATAAATATTAGGGTAGGCTTTTCCATGTCTGCAAAAGATCATTGAACTTTTGTTCTGGATTGCATTGACTTCACAGATATTTTTAGGTGCTACTGACACTTTAACAATATTGAGTCTCCCAATTCAGGCATACAGGATGTCTTTCAATTTATTCAATTCTTATTCAGTTTATTTCAGCAAAATATTACAGTTTTTCTACACAAATCTTTCATCTTCTTAAAATTATTAGTATTTTATTATTTTTGATGACCTGTGTATGGAATTGTTTTCTTAATTTTTTTTGGATTGTTCACCACTAATATACAAAAATACAACTGAGCCTTATGTGTTGAGCTGAATTCTGCAAGTTTGCTAAATGTGATTTTTAGCACTAGGAGACTGTTTTGTGAAATCTTTGGGATTTTCTATATATTAGATCATGTCCTCTGATAATAAAGAAAATTTGACTTTTTAATTTCTAATGTGTATGCCTTTTATTTCTCTTACTTGCCTAACTACTCTGGCTTGAACTTTCTGTACAATGTCAAATAGAAGTAGTAAAAGTGGGTATCCTTCTTTTATTTATGATCCTAGAGGAAAAGGTTTAAGTCTTTCACCATTATGTTTAGTATTACCTGTGGGTTTTACAAAAATGTCCTTATTCATAGTGAGCAAGTTTTCTTCTTTTTCTAGTTTGTTAAGGGTTTTTATCATGTAAGAATTTTGGACTTTGTCTATTGTTTGTTCTTCAACTGAGACAATCGTGTGTGTGTGTGTGTGTCTTTATTTTATTAATGTGGTACATTAAACTGATTTATTTTCATATATTGTATTACATATGTATTCCTGGGATAAATGCCATTTGGTCATGATGTATAATCTTTTTAATATGCTGCTAGATTTGGGTTGTTAGGATTTTGTTGAGGATTTTTGCATCTATATTCATAAGGTATATTGGTCTATAATTTACTTCCTTGTGATATATTTATCAGGCTTTAGTAACTAGGTAATGCTGACATAGATGAGTTAGGAAGTGTTCCTTTCTCCTCTTCCTCTTCTTTTCCTTTTGGAAGAGTTTGAAAGTTTGAGAATTATTAGAGTGTGTGTGTGTGTGTGTGTGTTTGCTATAATTCACTAGTGAATCCACTTGGTCCTGGGCATTATTTATTTAGGTGGAGAGGGGAGGTGGTTAATTACTTATTCAATTTCTGTGCTTGTTATACACCTGCTCAGATTTCCTATTTCTTCTTGATTCCATTTTATCTAGGTTATCTAATTTGTTGGCAAGAATTTTTACAGCCTCAATGTATGTATTTTTATTTCTCTCTGAGGAAGTATTTGGGCCTCTCAGTGCTCATAATTCTGCTTTTCATTTTTGAGTATTGTCAGTTATGCTCATTTTACCAAAGAAAAATGTGTTTACTTTTACTAAGATATCACTTTCCTTCTACCTTATATTAGAGAGTTTTCATATTTTGGCTGCATGACATTTATAGCCTTTCTTAATAGCATCTCAATTTCATGATGAGGAATTATTTTTTCTTGGGGAATTACTTTCCCTTGCATTGTACACCCATAGTGGATGGTTTCACAGAGTTTATGGCTCACACTACAGAAGCCAAGAGGTCCAAACTCTCATTTTGACCCCTGGAATAGTTAGAAGGTCACCAGCTGACTTAAAGGCAGGTAAGCAGAAGCACTGATCTAGGAATTTAAGATGTAATGGAGTAGCACAATAATGATGAAATAAAATAAGGGCAGTCATTGCATTAATGGTCAGGCTTCTCTAGAGAAACAACCAGTAGGAGCGAGGAATAAGCGGGAGAGAGAGAGACTGATTTTAAGGAAAAGGCTCACACTATTTTGGAGGTACAAGTCCAAAATCTGCAGGGTAGGCTGGCAGGCTAAAGACCCAGGGGAAAGTTGCTGTCCCAGTCCAAAAGTAGTGTGCTTACAGGATTCTTTCTTGCTCAGAGGAGATCAGTTTTTGTTCTGTTAAGACCTTCAGTTGATTGCACAAAGCCCACCCACAATATGGAGAATAATACATTTTACTGTAAATCTACCAATTCAAATGTTAATTTCATCCAAAAAATGTACATTTATTGAAAACATCTGGAATAATGGTTGACCAAATATCTGGGCATCATGGCCCCATAAGTTGACAATTAAATTAACCGTCATTTTAGCCCTGATAAGCTTTACGCAAACGTTGCTTTTTTTTTTTGGTCTGCTAGAATGAATCCTTTCTTCCCATTCACAAGCCTGATCTTTCAACTGCCCAAAAACTCCACTTGCCCTGCTTATCATGTACCCAAGTTCACTATCAGGGAAAAACACAGTAAAACAAAGGGATACCAATTAAAACACATATAGACAAAATTTTAAAGAATGACAATAAAAATGTTAACTAAATTGTGAGTTATACCAGTTAGGATTGAGTTTTGCTGTAAGTTACAGAAATAAACCAAATAAGTTGCTTAAACAAGGTTGCAGTTTACTTTTCTCTCACAGAAATATATCCGACTATCCCTTTGCTCTTCAGCCATCCTGAGTTGTGGCTTCCATCCCCAAGGTTGCTTCATGCTGTAAAATGGAAGTTAGAGCTGTAGCTATCATATCAAGGTTGCTGGAAGTTTAGTAAATAGCTTATTTGGCATTTTCTAAACTTCCAGCAACCTAGGTATGATAGCTAAGGCAAATGGCCAAATAGACTGCCTGGGTGAGGCAGTCTATTTCAAAGATATTTTATGGAAATCGCAGCCAATAACTCCTACCTACATCTCATTAGAAATACAATGAGAAAAGGGAAATTGAGAAATATCTTCCAGCCTGTACACTGTCATCCAACTGTATAGGGGTCTATTACTAAAAAAGGAGGACAGTACTTGTATTCTTGTCCACAGTGGAGAAATGAGACTTCAGTATTGCCACTACTCCAGTAATAGAAATTGTTACAGGCACTCTGAAGAATAACTTGATGTTATCTAATAAAATAGTAAATGTGTATAACCCACAATCCAGTAAATACCCAACTAGGTATATAACCCCAATAGGAAAAATTTACATGCAGCTACAGAGGAAGGTATTCATGTGTGATTATTGTTTACAGTCAAATAAGCAGTTTTGTTGCCAGATATTGGAAACAACTCAGATGGCCAACAGAAGATGAAATGGTAAGTAATTACATTGTGAAATATCTATTTGATGGAACATTGTAAGTAAAATGAATGAACTAGATCTATACATATCAACAGTAGCTTGATTAAACTAAAAAACTGTCAGATTAAAAAACAGGTTGTAGAATATTGTACAATGTATGATACTGTTTGTGTGATTAAAAATATCATGTATTATTTATCAACACACATGCATATATATAATTATACAAATTTGGCTTATAGACACATGAAATTCATTACAAAGATTGTCTTTGGTAAAGGAGGAATGAAAATGGAACTGTTGAGGGGAACACAGGAGACATTTAACAATTTGTTTCATTTACTTTAAAATGTTCAAAAATAAATATAATACAAATTTAAATTTGTTCATTTTGTGACAATTATTAATAAATTATTTTCATATTCCATAATAGGAGAGTTAAATATCTAATTAACCATTAAAATACTTTTATTTCATTTACATATTTTCATCAACAATGAAATTATATATTTTACCTGCATTTTTGCTCAGTATGATTATGGCTTAAAATAAAAAACCCACAATTTTATTTTTCTGAAGTTCTTGCTTTGTTTTGAGACGGTCTCACTCTGTCATCCAGGCTGGATTGCAGTAGCACAATCATGAATCGCTGCAACCTCAGCCTTCAGGGGTCAAGCAATCCCCACACGTCAGCTTCAACCTCAAGGGGTCAAGCAAACCTCCCACCTCAGCCTCCCAAGTAGAGGAGACTACAGTCATGAGCCACCACACCTGGCTAATTTTTGTATTGTCAGTAGAGATGGGGTTTCACCATGTTACTCTAACTGATCTCTAGCTCCTGGGCTCAAGCGATGCACCCAAAGTGCTTACCACACAAAGTGCTGGGATTCCAAGCATGAGCCACCACACCTGGCCTTACCTGGCTATTTTAAATCACCAAAATTTTACTAGAAGCTTGACTAAACATGCTTAATAATCTTAAATATAATGGTAAGAAAAGTAGACATAGTTAAAATGAATACGTACAGTTGGTAATGTGTAGAGATAAAGGGTGGGTCAATTTTAAGAAGAAAAAAACCTTTAAAGCTGTGTTAATTTCTTATGGCTGAAAAGTTTTTGCATAACTAAGTAATAATTTATGAAATGCTCATGCATTCGTTTATTCATTTACCTCCTTTTTTTTTTTATAATGGTTCTTCAGATCTTGAAGTTCCTGATTCCGCTTAGAGTCCAGTAGAGGGCCATGTTCATTCATGTAGTCTATATCTGCTTGAATCTTTGCATTTGCTTCTTCTAACTCCGTCTTTTGTTTTGCAAAATGTTCTAGTTGATTAACTTTATCTTCAAGATGCCATTGTAACTCTATAACATCTCTCAAACAGGCCTCGTGTTCTAGATATAGAAGGATAAGAACAAAAGAAAATCTGATTGGAAGAAATATTTGATAATACATAAATATAAATCATTTTAATGTCAGAAATTCCTTATCTGTGAATCAATTTTTTTTTTTTTTTTTTGAGATAGAGTTTTGCTCTTGTTGCCCACGCTGGAGTGCAAAGGCACGATCTTGGCTCACTGCAACCTCTGCCTCCCAGGTTCAAGCAATTCTTCTGCCTCAGCCTCCCAAGCAGCTGGGATTACAGGCATGTGCCACCATGTCTGGCCAATTTTGTAGTTTTAGTAGAGATGGGGTTTCTCCATGTTGGTCAGGTTGGTCTCAAACTCCCAACCTCAGGTAGTCCACCTGCCTTGGCCTCCCAAAGTGCTGGAATTACAGGCATGAGCCACTGCGCCTGGTTGAATCTTATTACCTCTAAGATAAAAGGTACTATAAAACATATTACTTTCTTAATTCATCATCAAAAAGATTAAAATATATGTTTCATAAGATAATAGTTATTTTACTACAAATCCTGTTTATGCTGTATGGTCAATGCATATTCTGATCATTCTATAAAGTACTCTATGTAACTGCTTCAAAGTGAGAACTGCAAGAGTCGAGGCCTTCCAAAACCACCTAGAAGGAAAATGATGAAATAAGACTTACAAATATCAGAACGAAAAAGGCAAAAGTGATTATTATTTTCTTATAGAAAAACACATGAAATAGTGAAATGAAAATTATTACAAATAAGATAGTTCATCTAAAAGTAATATTAAAAATGCTTGCCTATATATAAATACGTTGAAAACAGAATATCTCACAATAGCAAAACTAAAACATAAAATAAACTACATAAATCTATTAATAAACCTAACATGAACTGGGTAAGGTCTGTAAGGGGAAAGTGACAGCGTGCTACCAAACAACACAAAAGTGAATTTGAATAAATGAATAAAAATTCTTTTTTCTGTATAAAAATATTTGAAATTTTAGGTACAGGAATTTCCTCATATTAATGTATAAATTTAATTAAATCCCAGTGAACAGACAAGGACAATTTTAGAAAAATTACATTGAAAGATTTTCTCATTATATTAAGTTCTAGCATTAACTGGTTCTTGCATTCTTGGAATAAAACTAAGTGGGTTAGTTTATTTTCTTTTTAATCTTTTTAAAATAAATTTCTTGGTGGAATTTACTGATGTCTTTACTTGGGATTTTCTGCATTTATACTTGTAATTTTGGCCTGTATTTTTCTATATTTGTACTGTGATCATTTAATTTTGATTTATAATTTATGATAGCTTCTTATATCAGCTGTAGTTTCTTTTGATTTCTTTTCTCTAAAGTGTTGTGGAAGTTTGAAATTGCATATTAAGCCCCATGGCCCTATGTATATATTTATTTGTTTTGTGAGGAAGGATTTTTAGTTACTGGGTCAAAATCATTCCTTTAATGATTATATGAATATTTTGGTTATCTATGTATTCAGCAACCTATTTTTCTCTGTAAATTTATTTACTTTGTCAAAGTTTCAACATTATTCAAAGAAATTCGTTCTTAATGTCATCATCACTATTAATCACTGCTATATCCCTATGTATTTTCACTCCTAATCTGAATCAGTTATACATTCTGTGTTTTTCATTAATTTTGCCATTGGTTTTACATTATGCTCTTTCTAGTGAGCCAACTTCAGCTTTGCATCTCTTCTGCATTGTATATTTTTATTATTTTTCCATTTTGTTATTGGGTTTCTCCTTTTTTCTTTGTATTTATTTTGCTTTTTGTCTAACTTCTAAACTCATATTCCTGGATAATTAATTAAGTCCCTCTTTTTGATGTAACAAAAGCTACTGATTTCTCTTTAATGACTTGGATTTTTCCCATATGTGTAATGATAATTTTAATGATTTTTAAATAAAATACTTCTAAATATTTTTTATTTTTTGATACGTGCAATGTTTGATAACATCTTTTTTTATGTTTTTTACCCTCACCAACTAGACAGCAAGACTTTTGTTCTAAAGAGTCAGACATTATCTTGTTAAATATTGCCATTATTACTTTCATGAGGATCTTCTATTAAATATTCATGATGCCCTCTCATTCTATATGCCTTGTTTTAAATATTTGATTTATATTTTTCTCTCCTTGTCTTGATGTGATACATTCCATGCAATTTCTTCAAATTTTACAGTTAACTATTACTTCTCTGAGTCTAATAAACAATTTAACCAATTATTAAATTAATTTTATATATTTTTCATTTCTCATCGTTTTTCATTTGTATATTTCGCTTTCTTTAAAAAAGTTTCTTGTCCTTGCTTTTTAAACCTTTTTATTTCTTGAAATGTATCAAACAGTTATTTTATAATATCAGATATAATCCTATATCTGACACATTTTGAGTAAAATTATGTGGTCTGCATCTACTGATTCACACCCATTGAACCTGGATCTTTGTGTGTTTTATGATTTTTAATATTGAGCTGCTGCTTTTCTTGGAACTTTATCTGAGATAAATTTTAGTGCCTGGGCTGAAGTTTTAGTCTTGCAGAGCAAATTTGCCTTTTATCCTGTCAGTTGCCTGACTTTACTACTAACCTACAGAACATTTAAATGACATTCTCCACTGAACAGTTTTTAAGCACACAGACAGCAGGCAGTGGGGGGTCACAAATCTATTTGAGATTAGTACATTACAAATGCTTAGGAAGCATTGTTTTCCTCCATTGTATAAGAGAAACAAACAAGTTTCTTGGCTGCTCAAGCTGAGCCGCAGGTTTATTCATGGTTCACTCAGGCTGAGGACTAGACCTTTGGATTCTCATTTTTATGTCCTGATCTCTGATTAGACTTGTCACTCTGGGTGAGACTTAAGCTTTATTTCCAGTATCCTGTACCCTACACATACATCAAAATGGCAACTCAAGGACATCAGGGTTTCAAGGATTCCCCCAGGGCTAAATCTAACACTGATGTCTATTTATTTCCAGAAATTTCCATTCCAAACTTAAATGTTGGCCATGCTACATTTCTTATGTTCTTGACAACTTGTTAGTGTATTTTAAATTTGAAAAATTAAACTACATGAGCAATCTGACAATTGAAATAATAACTTTGATATGATTGGTTTATTTTCTGAATTAATAGTTAAAATGAACACCCTATTCTCAACAAGTCAATGAATAACTAGACAGAAAATTCTTAAGGAGAGAAAACACTTGAACAGCACTATCAACCAAATTGACCTGATATTTATAGATAGTCTACCCAACAACAGCAGAGTATATATAAATTTGAACCAAATAGAACATTCTCCCAGATAAAGTTTTAGGAAATTTATAAACTATAAATAATTTAAATATGAATGAAACATTTAAAAATGTTTCTATGGCCTTATAATATAGTTTGAAGTCGGGTAATATGATGCCTCCAGATTTGTTCTTTTTGCTTAGTCTTGTTTTGGCTATGCAGACTATTTTTTGGTTCCATATGAATTTTAGGATTGCTTTTTTCTAGTTCTGTGAAGAATGGTTATGGCAATTTGATGGGAATTGCATTGAATATGTATGTTGCTTTTGGCCATATGGTCATTTTCACAATATTGATTCTACCAATCCATGAGCATGGGAGGTGTTTCCATTTGTTTGTGTAGTCTAAGATTTCTTTCAGCAGTGTTATGTGGTTTTCCTTGTAGAGGTCTTTCACATCATTAGGTATATTCCTAAGCCTTTTTTTTTTTTCCAGCTATCGTGAAAGGGGTTGAGTTCCTAATTTCTCAGTTCGGACGCTGTTGGTGTACAGCAGAGCTACTGATTTGTGTACATTAAGTTTTGTATGCAAATTATCCTGAAACTCTGCTGAATTAATTTACCAGTTCTAGGAGGTTTGTGGATGAGTCTTTAAGGTTTTCTACGTATACGCTCATGTCATCAGCAAACAGCGGCAGTTTGACTTTCTCTTTACCCATTTGGATGCCCTTTATTTCTTTCTCTTGTCTGACTGCTCTGGCTAGGACTTCCAGTACTATGTTGAATAAAAGTGGTGAAAGTGGAAATCCTTGTCTTGCTCCAATTCTCAGGAAGAATGCTTTCAACTTTTCTCTGTTCAGCATAATATCAAAACAGCATGGTATTGGTATAAAAATAGGCACGTAGACCAATGGAACAGAATAGAGAACCCAAATAAGCCAAATACAACCAACTGATCTTCAACAAAGCAAACAACATAAAGTGAGGAAAGGACACCCTATTCAACAAATGGTGCTAGGATAATTGGCAAGCCACATGTAGAAGAATGAAACTAGATCCTCATCTCTCACCTTATACAAAAGTCAACTCAAAATGAATCAAAGACTTAGATCTAATACTTGAAACCATAAAGATTCTAGAAGATAACACTGGAAAAACCCTTGTAGACAATGGCTTAGGCAAAGACTTCATGACCAAGAACCCAAAAGCAAATGCAACAAAAACAAAGATGAATACATGGGACTTAATTAAACTAAAAAAGCTTCTGCTCAGCAAAAGAAATAATCAGCAGAGTTAACAGACAACCCACAGAGTGGGAGAAAATTTTCACAAACTATACATCCAACAAAGGACTAATTTCCAAAATCTACAAAGAACTCAAACAAATCAGCCAGAAAAAAAAAAACAAATAACCCCATCAAAAAATGGGCTAAGGATATGAGTAGACAATTCGCAAAAGAAGATATACAAATAGCCAACAAACATATAGAAAAATGTTCAACATCACTAATTATCAGGGAAATGCAAATCAAAACCACAAAGTGATACCACGTCACTCCTGCAAGTATGGCCATAATCAAAAACTGAAAAACATTATAGATGTTGGCATGGATGCAGTGAAAAGGGAACACTTTTACACTGTTGGTGAGAATGTAAACTAGTTCAACTACTATGGAAAACAGTGTGGAGATTGTTTAAAAAACTAAAAGTAGATCTCCCATTTGATCCAGCAATCCCATTACTAGGTATCT